CCCATAGATGCTATCGAAAGTAATGTACACTTTTGATGTGTAAATGACTTAACTCTTGATACGATTTTTTAATCATTTAACTGACTTTTCTTATATTACCTTCACCTGAGGGATGTCACAGTGTAGTGTTTGACCGAGCCCTCCCACGTATGGTGATCAACTTAGAATCCACATTTGATGACGGCTCTTAATTTGTTTTAAAATATATTTCATTTTCCTTAAAAGACAAAATAGAAAATAAATTTCAGTATTGGACCACGAGTTCTTGTCCAAAAAACAGAAGATTTCAAACAGTTTCGAGGACATGAGATTCTACAATAAAGAAGAATTCATAGATTTTTGAGGACAATATTCACGGTTCATTATTAATTTGATTGTCTCATGAGAGACCACCTCGTGGAGAGAGAAAAAAAATCCAAATTCAAAATTTGGGGAAAATTTTATTTTGGAAGAATAATGTTACTTATATATAATGAAATTATATAATGATTTATATACAGACGATGTGTCGAAAGAGAGTGGAGATTTTTTTTTTTATTTGGTTGAATTTGTTTTTGACTCAGCTCCTGTTTGAGCCACATTATTTTTTTATTTTAATTTTGTATATATGGGATGATTTAACACATAACTATTGCCAGGTAAAGATATTTTATTTAAGTCTCTTACCATTGATTCGTCATACAAATATTAAAAATCAAACCTTTCGACAGAACTTGAATTAAATCTCCCATTTTTTTTTCTTTTCTTTTTTCATCTATAGATTAATTTGTACAATTTATTTTGCAAGTATAAAATTTTGCAAATCGTAACTAGTAAGGGCTTCAAAAATTAACCAAGTTATGATCCATTTTATATTTTTTTAATAATGATATTTATAGTCATCGACTACAGAAGTAAGTCGTCTACGTAATATTGTACGAGGCATAATTTTAATAATTTAAAAAAGAAATAACTTTTAATTATATTATACCACATAAGAAGTTACGTATGACGATTAACGTAGTCGCGAACTATAATAACACTATTTTTTTTTAAATTTAATTATGTGTATAGAATATTAGAGGGAGACGTGTCTGTATTCACGTGAATGTCTGCCTAAGAAACATTCACGCTGAGCCGCCACCCCTTGTGGGGTCAACTAGGGTTTTGAATGGTTTCACAAAATTTGGTTTTATTATTTATGTTTTACACTAATTAACAATCTTAAGTTTATTTATGCTATAGAAAATAGAAGTATTAATTAAAGAGGGCTTAAAAAATTAAAGAAAGTAGTAGGGAAACAAACTTCACCTGAGGGATGTCACAGTGTCGTGTTTGACCGAGCCCTCCCACGTATGGTGATCAACTTAGAATCCACATTTGATGACGGCTCTTAATTTGTTTTAAAATATATTTCATTTTCCTTAAAAGACAAAATAGAAAATAAATTTCAGTATTTGACCACGAGTTCTTGTCCAAAAAACAGAAGATTTCAAACAGTTTCGAGGACATGAGATTCTACAATAAAGAAGAATTCATAGATTTTTGAGGACAATATTCACGGTTCATTATTAATTCGATTGTCTCATGAGAGACCACGTCGTGGAGAGAGAAAAAAAATCCAAATTCAAATTTTGGGGAAGATTTTATTTTGAAAGAATAATGTTACTTATACATAATGAAATTATATAATGATTTATATACAGACGATGTATCAAAAGAGAGTGGAGATTTTTTTTTTTATTTGGTTGAATTTGTTTTTGACTCAGCTCCTGTTTGAGTCATATTATTTTTTCATTTTAATTTTTCTACTCATTTTTAACCACACATTTTTAATAAAATAACATTTTTCATCACATCAATATCACTATTTAAAATACATTATTTCCTCGATAATATTCATCAAACACACCCTCCATCATATCCACTACATCATATGTATGTAAACCATTATATATATTTAGCACAATCGATTTTGAAATAGTGATTTTTTTAAAAATGTGTGATTAAAAAAGGGAAAAATTTTAGATTTACGTCTAATATTATTTTATTAAAAAATATGTGTTTGAAAAGAAAAGAGAAAAAAATGTATTTTGATTAAAGTGAAGTCCAAATATAGGCTTAGTTTCTTCAAAGAATTAAGCTATTTGTACCCGGGCATTTACATGCCCGGGTACATGGGCCCAAGACCGCTCTCACAATGAGGGGGGCCCCGAGGTGAATTAAATAATGGCGCCCCTCCCCCCCCAATTGTGAGAGGGGGGTGTGGGGTCGGGTACAAACGCCCGTGTACCTGTAGCAAGGTTCTTCTTCAAATTGAGGGCTAAATGCCTGTGTACCTGTAGCAAGGTTCTTCTTCAAATTGAGGGCCTACCCACTTCTTGGTCTTGTTATGATACTATTCGAAAACACAATTTTGAAACTAAATAACAAAATGTTTGATACTCATTCTCATTTTCATTTTTTTTTCTTTCTTCATTTCAAACACACATTCTTCAAATAAAATAATATTACACACAAATCTAAAACTTTGAATTACTTTTCAACCACACATTCTTCTATCAATCACTATTCTAAAATTCATTTTTTTTTCCCTAAAATGGGTGTCAATCTAGTACTAAAGATCATTCAATTTGGTTATCTATTTTCCGGCGTGGTAATTAATTTTCTTCTGTAAGTTAAACATAAAACAAAAATAAATAAATTTCTCTTATCACGAATACCTCAAGTTTGTATATATGGGATGATTTAACACATAATTATTGCTAGGTAAAGATATTTTATTTAAGTCTCTTACCATTGATTCGTCGTACAAATATTAAAAATCAAACCTTTCGACAGAACTTGAATTAAATCTCCCATTTTTTTTCTTTTCCTTTTTCATCTATAGATTAATTTGTACAATTTATTTTGCAAGTATAAAATTGTGCAAATCGTAACTAGTAAGGACTTCAAAAATTAACCAAGTTATGATCCATTTTATATTTTTTTTAATAATGATATTTATAGTCATCGACTACAGAAAGTCAGTCTACGTAATATTGTACGAGGCATAATTTTAATAATTTAAAAAAGAAATAACTTTTAATTATGTTATATCACATAAAATGTTACGTATGGCGATTACCGTAGTCACTAACTATAATAACACTATTTTTTTAATTATGTGTATAGAATATTAGAGGGAGACGAGTGTGTATTCACGTGAATGTCTGCCTAAGAAACATTCACGCTGAGCCGCCACCCCTTGTGGGGTCAACTAGGATTTTGAATGGTTTCACAAAATTGGGTTTTATTATTTATGTTTTACACTAATTAACAATCTTAAGTTTATTTATGCTATAGAAAATAGAAGTATTAATTAAAGAGGGCTTAAAACATTAAAGAAAGTAGTAGGGAAACAAAGCGTACAAATTAAAATATGATTTTAATCTCAAGTCAAAGTCAACAATTAATTTTAATTACACATTTTATGTAATCCGCAACTTTTCAATCACATATTCCATCAATTTTTATCAAAATATACTAAAAATCTGATTTTAATCTACAACAAACAGGGGCAAAACTTGTAAGATGCCAACCAATCGCATTGATCTTTCAACTATTCGTCTATTATACAACAAATTTAGGCCCTAGTTGAGCCATGTTTTTTAATAACAAAATTTGTAAAATGTGATTTTTTTTGAAGAATGTATGGTTAAAATGTTCAGGAAATTTTTGATTTTACGATCAAAATTATTTCATTGAAAAAATGTATGATTTGAAATGAATTCGAAAAAAAAAAATGAATTTTAAAGAATGAGGCTCAACCACGGACTTACAAATGTCTAAATGTAATGTGTACACACATTTATTCTTATATAGGTATGAAAGTATGATTATCTCTACAAACATGCATTTTGAGCTGTGAAAATGATAGATGGGATTTCACCACAATTTACAAATTTTCATTATTTTATTTTTCATTGAGAAAATAACAAGAATCAAATATGCTGAGTTTTGTTATTAATTGTCCTGACATAATAATTGAGACTTGGTTACTTAACTAACAAAGTGACATGCACACTCTTTTATGGCCAATTATTATTGTAGATATATACTGAATTGCACCTTTGTCTAGTGCTACTAAAAATGAATAATTATAGTGATTTAGTGCTGGGAATTTCATATCTATGAGAATGGTAGCCTTAAAATTTGGCGGCTTACTTAAAAAGACATCTAAAGACACTTTTAAGGACAATAATTCTAGATAACTATTTGCTCCCTTTTCTCTAGAGCTACTAAAAATGGCATTTTATACTTAAAAATGAGTGAATCCCGAACTTTAACGTCAGACCGAAAAAGTCATATACAGATACTTTACGATCCAGATTGACTCTTTATTCACAAAAACATCATTTCTAATTCAATAGATAAACACCCTTACTCTAGAGCTTCTAAAAATGAATAATCATAGCGATCCAACGAAGGAGATTGCATTTTATAAGGAAACTAGTAATCTTTTCGGAGTACTAATTCAGTTTTGCTATACTTATATCATGGTTGATAACTTCATTTACACTATTTAACATAATACATAATTTTACCATTAATTTTAACAATACTTATTCAAATCAATTGCCTCGATTTTGACACCTCAAAGGATGTCAATATACTTGTGTATTATCGGTGTACAATTAGCTTAATTCAATTATGTTTTGGTAAACTGTATAACGTTCATGAATCCCATCATCACGTGATTTTGAGCTGTTTATAAACTTAATAATAATTAACTAAAATGTGATCACCTAGATAGTTTTATTAAATTAATCGTGTCCAATTATTAATTTATTCATCTTACAGCACTTTTTAAATTTATTAAAAATTATTCCACACTTCTTGTTCACACCTATTATAAATACATATACTACCTGTTTCCATTCCGTATCCTAAAAACTTCTGTTCTACACAACTTTTAGCACATATATACAGAAAAATCTCTCTTTTCTTAAGTTTTACCTGAAAGACCTTTTGCAGGAAAAATGGGTGGAAATTCCCCCTGTGCTTCATGCAAGCTGCTTCGACGCCGATGTGCCAAGGAATGCATTTTTGCTCCTTATTTTCCATCTGATGATCCTCACAAATTTTCCATTGTTCACAAGATTTTTGGTGCCAGCAATGTCAGCAAAATGTTGCAGGTCGCTCTCTCTCTCTCTCTCTCTCTCATGCAACAAATACACATCCAAAATTTTTTGGATCGAACTCGTCGCACCTGGCTTGCCTAGTGCAGTTTACCTCTCCTGTGTGGTTTGCGGGCTACTGCACATGGAGCAGGGTTTACCTAGTGCGCATTCATAGTGGTCGGGGCTCCACTGACAAATAACGGCTACGGGTTCCTACGTCAACAAGAAAAAAATAAAAATACACATCCAAAAGGGAGTACGATATGCATTTGGTTCAACTTTCAAATTATAAACTTGCATTTCTTCTTTCGTTTGGTGGAGTTTGGTGGTTTTGGTGGAGTTGGGTTTGGGTGGGGGGTTAATTATGGAATTAAGGCTAACATATATTTATGTTTCTTATACGATATATAACATGTTGGTAAGTTGACTTGCAAGTGTTAGACAAAATTAAAGATTTGAAGAACAATAGGTTAAAATCTTGAGTGCATTTAATGTAACTAGCACTGTATGTCACGTCAAAAGTAGCTGTTACACTTACTATGTCTAGATGTATTTAGTACTGCGTATCGTCTAACTCAAGCATATATTTTTTCTCTATACGATCAGGAGCTCCCACTGCAACAAAGAGCGGACGCAGTGAGTAGTCTAGTATACGAGGCAAATGCACGAGTTAGGGATCCAGTTTACGGTTGCGTTGGTGCCATATCTTACTTGCAAAACCAGGTTTCTCAGCTTCAAATGCAGCTGGCTGTGGCTCAATCAGAAATACTTTGCTTTCAGATGCAACAAGAACTAGCTCCAATTACTACTAGTCCAGTACTATTGGAGGGAGATGACAAACCATCCCTTTTCCTTCATCAAAATAATCTTCCTCAGTTCCTTACCTATTCCTCTTCTAACAATGTAATTTTTGACTCTTTCAAGAAAGAGTCATTTTTGGGACAAGACATGATTTTTAGTTAAACAATGATATAATGGAAAACTAGCATTTTGTGTTTCAAAAATATTAATCTCATCTCTATGATCACGACTATTTGACTATGCTATGATCGATATTACATTATCTTTGTAAATTTGTATGTGTGAGAGGTTGTGACAAATCATAAAAAAATCGGTAGTTGCTAGTATGAAGTATGAATACAACACCTAATGCACTACAAAAAAGTTAGTGGGTTAGTCGATAAGTCAACCGTAGCACGTGGAACCGGAGAAAAATACAACCCTTACTTGACGATCATTATTTCAAAACTCTTTAACTCTCGTACTCATTTTTAATCACATTTACACAATAAAATATTTTGAATATAAACCTAAAACTTTTTCTTACCTTTTAACCACACATTCTCCATCTATTCAAAACTCAATTTTTTCAAAATAATAGCCATCAAACAGGAGCTTAGGTTAAGTATATAAAACAAATTAATGAATCAAGCGCAAGGGTTAACGACACTGTCAAACATGAATTAAGTTATATGTACATTATTGTTTACATTATCGATTATAAGATACATAAATTTGACTTGCTAATATAGATACTGTAACTTAATTAGGTACAATTAAACGAATGAAAAAACAAGTGGTTAATTCACTATGCGTGAATTTGTAATAATGCTTAGTACGTGACGCTATGCAAAATTAATTTACTTTTATTTTTAATACTATCCATAAATTGTTGCTCAAGTAAATATGGGGTTTTTCTTGCCATATGTGAATTTTAAATATTACTACGACTTGTTTCATATGTTAAATTTTGAACAAGACTCTTACAATTTAATTTTAATTTGGGAAAAAAAAACACGCCCACAGAAACTACAATGCTACGTGACAGAAATTAAAATGAAAAAAAAAACACACACACACACACGCCCACAGAAACTATAATGCAAGGTGACAGCAATTCTTTCTGATTAACTTGTTCACGTGGAGGCTGTGCAAGAAAGTGCTTGGTTCATGAATGAGTTTACCTTGTAGACGAAATTCAATTATATAATACATATATTTGTATATACAATTATCTGTACGTCTAATCAACTGCACATAGAAAGATAATTGTGCTCATTGGATAAATTAAAGAAAACGAAATAGTAACAGCTGACTCAAAAAGATTCCTCTTTGAGTTGTTTTTAATGTACAAACGTTGTCCAAGTCAAACTATGGAACTTTCTCATTACTATCATAAATTCTTGTTTGGACGGTCTGAACTTTTATAGAAATAATTGATGGAATTCATGGTAGCTTATTTAATCTGTCATTTAAAATATATTTTAGTCACTCTTTTGGACTGCTTATTCTACCTTCCACACTGAGATCTGTAATTCTCTGATTATTGCGTTTTCAAACACACTTCTACAACTACGATTTGGCGTATTCTGATTCTTTTCATTGATCATGTCCTTGTACATTAATTAATTTATTTATTTTTTGATGAAAACTATGAACTTTCTTTACATTTAAAATTAACCCACAAGTTATGTTAAAATAGGCTTGTAAATCTCGTTAATTTTTTGCAGTTTATAAGTGCAAATTACACTATACATCCCTGTAAGTTTCAAAATTCCAAACTCACTACCTAAAGAATTTAGCTATTTGTATAACCCTTGTTGACAACTTCGGTGTTATCAAAATCTGGACAGTCGATTGAAAAAACAGTTTTTAAAATAGATGAATGTTATACTGCCAACTGTGAAGTTGTCAACTAAGGTTATACACGTAGAATGATTCAAGAATTTAATTTCACAAATACCTTAAAACACACAACACCTAAAAATATACGCAAATGACAAACAACGGTGGCAGGTCCACCACCACTGTCGGATCCACCCCTTCAGTTTTTGGTGAGACAAAGATGATGGTAAAAACTCAAAAGAAATACCGCTCTCTCCCCCATGTTTTTAATTATTAAGTACTTGTTTCAAAAATTTCTTTAAAAACCCTAGATTTACATTGTAAACTTTCGCTACTACTTTCTCAACAAACCTAGACATGAAATTTCATTATCATTGTTTTGATTTCTTGATTTTGGTGTTTGTGTTGTGGAAGACATTGATTGTGGTGATGGCAAGTTTTTGTTTGTTTTGGTGTGTGGCTTCTATGGTGGAGGTGCTAAGACTCAGGGATGATGGTTGAAGTGATGGCGGGATAAGGTGGTCGTGGTGGCAGTGGAACACGTGTGTTGCAGGGCAATAGTCATTGATAGTTAGGGATAGCAAAAAAATTGTTCAACCTGATACTTGCGTGCTTCGCCCTGAATGGGGTAGAGATTACCCGCCTAACTAGGTAAATTGGACATGGGTCACTGCCTGGAGCAGGTATGGGGCAAAAGTCCTTGCCCCGCTACCCCTCCCATTTAAATTTAGTTTTAAATTTTAATTTTTTATCAAATAAAAGAAAAAATATTTATATCATTTTTAAAGAGAACGTGAGTTGATCTTATAAAATTGGAAAAAAAAAATATAATAATATTTACCAACTAAAGACATAAAAAATTAAATAAAATAAAAAAAATAAACAGGACGATAAATGGGGTAAGGGCCCGACCCCGCCCCGTCTCGCTTTAATTGGGTACGGGTAAGGGTATGAGGTAAGGTGAAAAAAAATATTCGACGAGACGGGGGTGAGAATTGTCGACCCGTCTTATACACGCATTGTTGCCATCCCTAGTGGCGATGACGACAATATATTTTTTTTTAAAATTATGGTAGTAGGTTGTAACACAATGTGTTACAGTAAAGATAATGCTGATGGTAATAGTAACAGCGAGAACTACATAACAATGAATGTTATAAGTGGTGAGATCAAGGACGATGATGGTTTAACACTAAATACTACAACTGGTGGGGGCTATGACAATTGCAATGGCGATGAAAATCAGTGTTAAAACGTGTACAACAAACTGTGTTACAAATGGTGGCTGTGGAAACAAGGGTTGAAATGAGTGTAACATAATTTTACAAAGTGTGTTACGTAATATATTTTACTTTTTTTATTTTTAAAAAGAGATAGGTGTGATTGTATACCTATTTAGGTCATCAAAAATGAATATTTGAAAGTCAATTTGATAGAATTGCTACTTAAGCAAATATCGATTATGGCAGGATAATTTCAAGTTTGGATGACTTCTAGTGAAAAGAAGTGAGAATCGATCACAGAAGGGGAAACATGGAAGAATTGTAAAGTTTGAGGATTAAGTTACAAATATCCAAAAGTTGATTCGCATAAAGAAATGATGATTGAAGATTACATGGATCAAATTGAATGAAATCAGAAGATAGAGGATTAAAATGGCACATGAAAAGGACTCAAGCCAAGACCAAAAGACAAAGTTAAGGACCAACTTGTATAGACGTAGAAAGGTGGCCACTGCAATCACAATGACAGAAGCGGTGAGATCACATCTCTAGAAGTTCGAATTACAGTAAGCAAAACGTCTCTCCTATGCAATCTCAAACTAGTAAAGGGTGTGATTGCATGTCATTAAATTCGATAGAAATTTTGTTTTCTTTCATGGTTTTTCCTCTGTATCTTCATATATCTAGAATTCAGGTGATGTTTCATGTAACAAATATGATTTCTTGTAATTTTGTAATACACGGCTAAATTTCTAGTCACTAGAACTTAGATGAATCCTTTATTGTGAAGTTTTAGTACAAAGTTCAAGACTTTGACATTTGATACCTCTTTGATTTGGATGATTGTAATAGAAAGTAATGCTTTTCAATTAGTCAGCTACTAATTAAATATTTTGTAATTGTTATTCTATTTGAGAGAAGTGATAATTAATATAACACTTATAACTATTGTTGTGAGGATAGGGGGTATACATATGTACTGCTATGCCTTGCACGTTTTAAATTGGATGTTCTCGTATTTAATGCATTTTTTCATGTTCTTATTTTTCATAGAGATATAAGAAGGTCACATGAGATTATATTTAATTCTACTCAAGATAGATTGTTGAACAAGATAGGTACATTAATTGGCAAGATTAAATAAGTATTATTATGGTACATTAATCAATTTTACAAATGCTTCTTTGTTGCTCGCCGGATTAGTTTAGATAATTAATGTAAAATCAATCAATGAAAAATTGATTATGCTATTAAAGTTAATATTAATTAGAACTAAATAAAGTACATAGTATTTGAGGGAGCGATACTTATTCATTACTTTATGGAAATTTCCATTTCTACAGAAGAAAAACATTACAGAAACCTTACATCCTCTCACATGAAGGTGGGTCCCCCGCAATAAAAAAAATTACCCACGCACCCTGCCCTTGTGAGTATATGTAATGTTTCTGAATCTGTACATGTAGTCCAATTCTTAGTTTATTTCTTGGTTACGATACCATTCATTTGTGAGATTATATCCATTAGAAGGTATTTTGAAAATAAAGAAGATTTAAAAGTGTGTTTGAAATTAGTAAAAAAAAATCATTTTGTTTTGGAATTGTTCCCTTATTTTTATGTTGATAGGTCCCACCTTAAGTTCCCTTCCTAATGCTTCTTATGGCCTACTTAGGTATTTGTTTTACTAAACGGAAAAGAGACCATATCATATCTACTGATAGGTGGTCTCAATTAAAAAATTCTCATATTTGAATTCAAAAAATAAATGAAAACAATTTAACAACGGTCATATTACAAACGACTCGTAAAGATGCTATATTCATAAAGTAAATCAAATTCCAGTCTGTATTGTAGAATATATATTTTTCAAATTTAAAATCAAGATAGGAGCATTAATGTATTCACATTCTTCATTAACATGGGAACATATTTGTTTTTATCTTATGCAATTTTTCTTTTTATAATACTGAGTCCCACAATGAGAAAAGTCTAACCTTCAGCATACTAAAGCTTCCTCAAGGCTTGTGACCAACTAGACTTGTTGGTGGCGTGAAAGATTCAAACCAAATATATATTTTATCAAGAATTATAGTGGGGACATGCATGGAAAAAATT